TTTTTTATGAATTCTATTAACAAAGTGTGACAAATATAGTCAATATATTTTGAAAATCCGGGAAAAAATTTAGCCAATTTTAACGTAAAATTGACACTTTTTTTGGAATATCTGAAAATTTTCATCATATACCCCCATTTTTTATATTCTTTTCTAAATATTCAAGATAAATTTGACCTATTTGCTTAAAATCAGAAAAAGTTTAAGATTTTAAAATAATTTTCTTGCTTATTAAATTTTCAATTCCAGAAAAATCACTTTTTATTAGTGCAGAAAGGTCAAATAATTGATTATGCCAAGCAATTTGAAACTTTTTCTTAGGCACAATTTTTAAGTGTTTTTTTTTTAAACAAACTTAGACTTCATTTTGTTTCATGCTTTAATTGGATAAAAATATTGAAGGGAAAACGTCAAAAATTTAATTTTTAATTAAGACACAATTTTCAGTGCAAGAAGGTCATATTAAATGTACTGTAGCGCCAAAAGAAGCGTATTGACCCCCATTTTTTGATTTGAATTTTAATTAAGCTATGTATGTACAAACTAAAAATATACTTAGCAAAAAAAGTTTAAGACTTTAAATATCAGGATCGAACGTCGTTAAATTGCCTGGGACGTCTCGTTAGGAGAATCCGAGCTTGTCTGGCCAACCGAGGGGGGTTGGGTTGGGTTACCCGTTACTGACTGTACTACACAATGGTGGTAAATTTGCTGTGTGATCCCGTCTTGGTGCCGACCCTTATTCTGCAGAACCTGTCCTTTTCTGACTATACACAGGATTTCGAATAAATTAACAAATGTTTCCTTAATGTTTTTCTGTCATTTGTTTCCTTTTTGACCTCATGATCTGCATTTCTTTGTCAGTCAAATCCAATATCCCCTACTTTTTTGAATTGTATAGTTTCGAATAAGTAATCAAGAATCGTAAAACCTATCCTTATATTTTTTTTACACGGTAATGAATTCAAAATCATATTGCCGTAGCTTGTATTGCGTTAGTTTTCAACTGGTTGAAGTTGCCCGACGCCGTGTTTATGTACGTAGTGGTAGGTGTTGTCTGTATAGCTGATTTGCCTTTAATTTGTAAATACTAGTATATGTTTAATTAAATCTGTTTCAATTATAATTGATAAGATCAAGTCAGAGAAGACCATTGTGTTACTTTCTAAACAGATATTGTCAGTGATGTTGATTTCTCATAAATCAACATTGTCTCGGATACAACTTTAACAAGCGAAATCATAAACAAATGAGGTAATTAACATGTACCAGACATTTATCTTTTGTGTAAGATACCAAAAGATATTGTTTCCTGAATTGCTAATATCAGAATTTTGGGTGCATTGATATGCATGTAAAGACATTTTAAAAACAGTTGATAAAACACGAGATAATTTCTCAAATATTTAGCTACAGAACTGTTAATCCCCCCCCCAAATGACTCTGAAAGACCGGAGAGCTGTAATGCCATCCATAAAAAGAAGAGAAAAAACCCAAACAACTGTGTATATATTGCGCATGAAAACGAATTCTTACTTGAACTATTCAAAAGCTCGATTTCAAAAAATCATTTCAGCATGCACTTTAAATAAACTTATCTCGTTTTACAAGGGCATTGAACCGAATTGTCTTGCTATCCAAAAAGGACTGTTTTAAGCGAAATATTCCAATGACTCAATTTCAGCACGGTTAGTAATATTTGATGACAGTTTCGATATAAGGAAAAAGTAGATGCTATAATTATACAGCAATATCTGCACTTAGGTGTTTGCATCTAAATGTACTCTAGCTCCTTCATATTTTGGTTACCAATGAGGAAGCCACAAAAATTCTATAATACATATGTGTATTTGACGAAATAAGTAAAGAGAGTCTTTGGAAGAGATTTTTGTTCTAAAAGGGGAGTTGGAACTCATTGAATCAAAACAATACATTTTTGTAGTAAGCAACACTTTAGTGTTGATTAATTTTAAAATTTTAGAAGCCAAAATGACAACTTTTGGATGACCGAATTGTGCAAGCTTTTGTCAGAACTTGGGTTGGGAAATAATTTCCAAATCACTACCATCCGATTTTGTCAATATCAACCTTTAACCACCTGTTTTCCTGCCATATTTCGAATATTTTAAATATATAATAATCAAAAGTAATGTAAAATAAAAAAAAGTAAAGTTGGTATTTTTAATTTAACATCTTTTGAAAATTTTAGATCGGCGTTTGGAGTCGGGCTTGGATCTCCTTCCAGTACTAATTTATTTACCGTTCTATTATATACTGGAATGGGTGTGATAAATAGAAATTCATAGCATGTTCATTTCGTAAGTTCTATGGTCGATACGCAAGAGCATGCTCTACGCATGATCAATTTCTAAAACGAAGTAAATTATTGACAAACAAGTTGATGAAACAAGAATATCAGCAGTCTCGTTTAAATTCATCATTTCGTAAGTTCTATGGTCGATAGAATGACCTTGTCAGCTAATAACATTTATCATCGAGTCAAATGCTGATTAACATTTATCAATTCTTAGTCCATTTTTAGTCCATTATTTATACACTGAATTGACGATGGATTTTTCCGTTATTTCCCGATCATGACAAGGAGCACACGGCGGGTGTGACCGGTCAGCAGGGGATGCTCACTCCTCCATGGCACCTGATCCCACCTCTGGTGTTTTTGGAGGTCCGTGTTTTCTCTGTTCCTATTTTGTATTGTTCTGTGGATTTTTAATCTTGAATATCGTTCGTAATCCCCATCATCGTTACAATGACCTTGTCAGCAAATACAGACTATCATTAAATCAGATGCTGATCTGGCGTTTTTCGTATTCTACCGTTATTTACGAAAATGCGGCGGGTGTGACCGATCGGCGGGGGATGCTCACTCCTCAATGGCACCTGATCATATCCTGTAATGTTTGAGAGGTCCTTTTTTGCTATGCTTTAAATTTAAATTGTTTAATGGACTTTTTAGCTCGAATACTATTACGTTATATCATAGAGTACAAGGCTGGACTATAATTACATTACAGTGACATCATTTAGTATTATTCTGAGCTTGACAAAGGATTTACTTAACATCGACAAGTCCGTGTAATATCAGAGACATATCTTATAGACGAAAAGAGGCTAGACATACATTAAAGTATATCCATTACTAAATTTATGTCTCCTTGAGCAATCAGGACATTGGATGCATATTATACTATTATTAAATTGACAGGAATTATCTCAGTTTTCCCATAAAAATTTATGGGAACTAATTTTGTAATTAAAGCTAAGATGAAATGAATGTCAGGTAGTTTCTCTATCGAAGTTTAGTTAAATTATGCGCCATACCTCTCTAAAAGGAGTAAAGTCTAAAATTACAGATAATTATGAATTAAAATATTCGGGTGACACTGCTTCATTGCCCTAATACTGTAATCTCATAAATTTTTCTCTTTTGGTTGTTTCCAATAGCTTTGTGCATAATGATACGTATGACTATAACTTTGATAACCGTATGAGCCAGGGCTTAGATGGTTGTTCCGTTTATGACCACGCCTTATTTGAATTATACCTCTTGATTACTTCTATATATAGAAAATAGTGGCCCATGGGCTTCTTACGTGAAAAATCCATTTGCTAAATTCGTTACTAGACAGAAATTGCAGAATTTTATGAGGATAATTCTGTTCAAAAGAGAGTGTTTGTAAGAGATTTTGTTGAAAAAGGATTTATTGTCAAAAAAAAAACCCACATATTTTTGTAGTAAACAACACTTTAATAGTGTTAATTAATTTTAAAATTTTAGAAGCCAAATATGACAACTTTCGGAAGACCGATTCGTGCAAACTTTATCAGTATTTGGGTAGGAAAACCCTGTCCAAATTACTACCAATCAATTTTGTCAATGTCTACCTTCATCTGAAGTTTACCTATTTTCCTGCCATATTTCAAATCTTTAAAATGTATATTAAAAAGTAATATAAAATTAACTGATATTTTCGATGCAATACCTTAGAAATTTTTAGACTCGCGTTTGCTTTGAACTACGACCATCTTATAAGTACTAGTTTTACCGTATTATTATTGGAATAGGTGTGATGTATATTAAACAAGGCTGAACTATGATTACATCATTATGACATCATTCAGATATTATCTTGAGCTTGACAAAGGATTTATTTAACATTGACAAGTCCTTGTGATATAAGATACATATCTAAAGCAAAACAACTGCTAGACTTACATAAGTATCACGGATCCTGTTTTAAATTCTATACATTACTGAATGTGTGTCTCCTTGAGCAATCAGGACATTGGATGCGTATCATACTGTTATTTAATTGAACTTATTTCAGTTTTCCATAAAAATTTATGATGTTTATGATGAAATGAATGTCAAGTAGTTTCTCTATCGTAACTTAAGTCAAGTTATTGGTCATATCACATAAAAGGAGAAAAGTTTAAAATTACAGATAGTTATGAATTAAAATATATTAGGTGACACGTACTGCTTCATTGCCCTTGCAGTAAAAAAATCTCATGAATTTTGCATTGCTGGTTGGCTCCGATGGCTTTATGCATAACGATACGTAACAATGACTATAATAAATTTGATATCCATATGGGCCAGTGCTAAGATGGTTGTTCTGTTTATGGCCACGCCTTATTTGTCTTACCTCTGATTTATCTCACTGTATTCAAATAAACTTTTACAATACAGATATCTTGAAAAGTAGTGACAAAGATATTAAAGATATAAATGCGTGTATAAAAATAATAATTTTTGGTTTCGTGTATGTAGATATGATTGGAATTTGAACAAGAGTCTCTTTGGGATTCTGTCAAACTTTGGGAGATTGCCATTTTTTTAACCCCCTTTAGTTTTTGAAAATAAGCAAAACATGCATATCCCTTTTGTTTAAAACTGATAAAAACCCCATCAAGGAACTAAAATTATATATTATAATAAAAACCGGGAGCGAAGGAAGCTACATATTTGTTGATTTCCGATAAAGCAGGAAGAAAGCGACACGAGCTATGTTCCCAAGGATGTGCAGATGCTATATAATATGCACTTCCTCGGTAGATTTTTGAACGTCTTATCCGCATAAGCTCAATTATATGATTTCCCATCTTACGCCTGTGTACTACCGATAACATTGTATTATAATTTTCCCTCTTTCAATAAATTTCCTTCTGGAACAAGCCAACGTGACTATATTGAGCAAATATACCTATACTGCGTATCTGGCGCTTCTTGTTGGGAACGTATCACGGATCGCGGTATTTAATTCTGAGTAGATGACAGAGGTGAGCGGACGCGCTGTAAAAGGTGCGGTGGACTAAGGACTTATTTCGTATAATTCGTAAGTAAATTGAATTCTTATTACATTGGTTAAGCCTGAAAAACAACATTTCCTTCTTTGTCTGTGCTTGTTTTCAAAGGAAAGCAGAAATATACCTGATACTACACAATGCGTGAAATGACGCGTTGCCTGATACCAAAGATTAATTAAAAAAGATCCGATAAAACTACTGGTTGATCAGTTTTAAAACAACAAATTAATGGATCAGATTGCCACCAAAATATTCCACTATATAGGTTAAATCTACGCTTAATAATTATATAATCGTTAGTATTTTTGAGAAATATAGTAAGTTCATTGTCCCTAAATAAACTGTGTCTTTGTAGAAAGCTGCAGTTTCTTCTGAATTTTCTTGCCCAAATACGTTTCACTAAAGAACAAAGAGAATCTAAATGAATTGGTAGTCCTGTTTAATTTTTATGGAAACATTTATTGAATACGGGAAATCCTGTTGAGAAATTTCTATTGAGGGATTTTTTTTGGTCAATTTTTTTTCTATACTAGGGGTTGTTCGGGAATTTTGTGGGATAGGTTGGTTGTCTTCCTCCGGTCGAGAAGGGTCTCTTTGTCCACACATGCTGTAAGAATGAAATGGCTCATTGGCAATGTAAATAAACATTGACGCTTCAATTATCTTCTCTAAAACTTGGACAATTAGCATAAACATGTAAACAATCAATACGGCGAACAATATAACCAAATATAACCTCATGATACACACACTATATTACTGTCCACTGATTCCATGAAGTAATTGGTGTTTTTGTCCCTATTTAAAGATGATAAAAAAATCTCCTCCTCTCTCTTCTTCCCTCTCCAGAATCAATTAAGTTACCTCGGGTAACTTTCACGTAATTTGAAATATGAAGAGCATCTGTTCCCATTCAAAACTTATAGGAAATCGATTTCTCTGTTACTCAACTCGGGTATTAAATTAATTATTATAAATCACGACCTTGTCAGTGCCACAGGTATATGAAAATAAGCTATATTACATCACGATTCCTCATCGAAAAAAAAAATACATGTACAATGTATAGAAAAAAAAGAAACACCAGTTTGTACTTCCAGTAAATGGCCCTGTAATACCTTGAAACATTACAACCCAGTTAATCTGAAGGGCGTTCACAGGACATTAAAATGCACATGTTTTGAGACTGGCTTTCACTTTTAAGAAAGAGATATATCTCTGAAAGAAAATGTTTTTCAAGAGATACATTTTTTTTAAAAAAGAACATGGTCGAATTTCCCCGTATGTATTGCAGTTTGTTTAAATAAGAAGAAGCAAAACGGACTCCATGTTTTTCTGATATGGCTAAGTAATGTCGTTATAGGATTTTAAATATAATAGAGGGTGTGACAGGATTTAAGATGGCTCTTTTAATACTTGCGCTCTTTATTGGAGCTATGGCTGGCTGACCAGGGTGCACAGACTGGAGTACAGGTGACCGAGGTCAACAAATGGCCAAAAGCACTGTCACGATTTAAATGAATTAAACAGGAAAAATTACATATAAATGTTATTTATTTAAAAAAGAAGAAAACGAGGAAGAGTTCTACCCGTGACCTGGTTATATGCTTGTAAGTGAAGTACTTAATGATATAGTACTAAAAAGAGGAAAAGGTTATTTAATGCACAGTCATTTTTACCAAGAAATCCGGATAGGGTTCAAACAATTATGGTGAATTTCCAACATAAACTGCTACCTTTCATTAAAAAAATTATAAAAGGGAAGTACATTTATTGTTTTATCTACTTGAAGATACAGATGACATCTTTCTTCCAAAAACAGAAGTTTTCTTGACTTTAACATGCATGCGTTATTAGCTATGCTTACCCATGAAGTCATTTAATTATAGCTTGAGATATTGTAAAAATCTTTACACTCTGTGTTCGATGCTTTAATTAAACTGAGGTACATGTAGTCTTTATGGGTGCAGCGTAGTCAGATAACTCAAGTACACCCAGATAATCTATCTGAAAAAAAAAATGCAGTCTTGATAAAGCTTGCCCAAAGGTCCAAAAACAAGATAGTGATTCTTTGAAAGGTTCATCACGATTTTTGAAATGATACACTGAATGCGTTTTTGACAATTTGTTGTGGTTCATCAACCTGTGTGATATTAAATTGAAGCAGCCCTTTGGTTTGAGAGTATCGAGTGAACACGTAAGAAGGCACTATGTCCCCAGATACTATCTCGGTGGGACAAATATTTGAGTACATAGGCTTGGCATCGAAGACTAACCCGGTCATTCAAATTATCACGTATTCGGGATCATCAAAAACCCCTAATCTTACAGGCCTTTCATACGCCGTGAATTGTATGTTGCGAAATCTAAGCAGACTATTTCTTAGATTAATTAAGTTTACAATAAACCTTTTTACCTACGTAGTTAGCTATTTTTGTGTGTATACAACGATACTGTTGATTAATTCGTTTGCCAGATAAGGACGTTTTATCCGTGTACATTGATTGCGGTGACACAGTATATACACCTCCCCTATGAATTAAAAAATCCCCAGCTGTTCTCTTTAGGATCCTCCCCGGGATTCAATGGAGCTACCCCCTTGTCTGTAGGTCCATCAATAAGTGCCTGTTGAATAGTGTGGTTGTTATAATGAATGACCAGAATATTTTTTTTCTTTATTAATTTAAAAATGCATTCCAACTAAATTTACTATACTCAGAGTATGAAGAATAGGTTAAAATTATATAAAGGTACATTAACTGATATACTAGTGTTCTAGTTTTACCGTTACTAAGTTACCCTTATAAATAATTCTGGTTAGTTTTATTCAAATGAATCATAAGGGACTATCCAGTATTACGCTGGACGCAATAGGATATGGATGTGAAAAAATGTTAAATAAGAAACAGGAACGGATTATTGTGGTTTGATCTGCTAGACTGGACGCGGTGTGAATAGAGTAGAGGGCGGGGGTGAAACTGGTTCATTAAACATTGGAGTAGCAAAAAAAAGGTAGGCTTACAGGACAAAACATTTCTACAAATAACAACGTGGTTAATAATGTAGATTTTCAATGTAAGGACATTTTTTAGGGGTTGCAAGATTCATTTAATATTTACACCAAATGAATATGACGAAGGGTAGGTTTATTAAGGATATCTCGAGGGGTTTAGTGCAATAAGGCTTCTAAAATGTCATATTTAACGTATAGAGTCTAACATTTCTTGCGAGGGATTATTAGAGAAAAATGGGCGTGAGATTAAAGGTGAAATTGCTGTATATTGTAAGTGTTTGTCAACGGAGTGATAAAAGCATTCATAAATGACCAGTCGGTGGACAGACCATGTTTACACGACATTTTAAATCTTCATAATAGCATTCATTGCACCCCCTTTATATTCAACACTGGTCAACATATTTCTACCTGCTGTGTCGGAAAAGAATCGATAATTGTGATTTTGCATCGACGTTAGTCAATATTGTTCTAAAGAACACCCGATTCTGACAATTATTTAAACATTTTCCTGTCATCAAAATACATATATTTTACGCTATTTGTCTAGATAGTAGCGAGTTAGAAGTGTTTCACGAGGCCAACCAGCAATATATTTGGTATCATGCATATTACAGTCCATACATGTGCAAGTATAATAGTTGCATTGATTTGGAATGGGATAACAAAACCAAACCAAACCAAAACAAAAAAAAAATTATCAATGATAAGTTTTTGTTTGTCAGTATGACTTGAACGAGTCAAAAAATGATAATTGATCATGAATCTATTCTCATGATCAAACGTTGTTTTTTTTACGTCTGCATCCAGGTGAATAGAGATTTTAAGAGATTTCAGGAATATAATCGATATAAAGAACCTATAGTTTTCTACGTCACGGTAAACAGGTTAGGTCATTTTAATATTGTCCCCTAGATAACAGGTAACATTGTCTAACACGAAGGCAGTATTGCGATTTCTTAGGCGTATATATAAACATAGAATTTTATAGGTTTTCTTATTTTCAATGAATTTTTAACCCACAAGAAAACGGATTATAACCATATCTGACAAGAATGTGTAAAACATTTATTTTTAGAGCTGGTTGAAAACTTTTATTGTTACACAATTAGTAGAACTGACCGACGGCTTTTAAGGACACTGAAACTTAAAGTGGTCAGTTACTTGGTCAGTTCTTTCACCTTGTTAGTGGTTCGTTATTCTTGCTTATTTTCACTAAGACTATTAGCAAAATTCTCTGCCTGTACTTTTGAAAAAAAAAAATGCTGATTAAAAGAAATTACGATGGTCATCTATAATTGATGTATAAAACACTACCCTTTATTGCAAATGAAATTGATTATCTATAAAATATTTTATTATTTTATGATATTTTGTCCTATCTTTACATATTTTGATATATAAAACCTATCTACTATATTGCACATGACATTGATTTTTAATGAAATATTTTATTACTTTATGATATATAATCTGACCTATTTTTACTTATATTGCCCCAGCACATGTCATTCCATGGGTCCATTAGAGTATAATATTTTTCGCATTGATTTAAAGACTATTCTACTCAGGTCATTATTTGATCTAAATGACTACCTCCCATAGAGAACAGGGTTTGATAACGGCCGAATCTGGCCTCTTATTTGACGTTAAAGTAAGAAAACAGTTAAAACTGTGATAGGTTGTAGATAGGAACTTAAAATGATGCTTGTTTTAAAACCAGCAGTTATTTTTGAGTAGAAGCCTACAAGGAGGTCACAAGAAGGTGCAGAAATCAGACATTTTCCCGAATTTCCTCAATTCTGATGGAATTTCGTCAAATTTGAGATACTTTTGATTTCACTTCGGGAAACATTGAGTACAAGCTTGCTTATCTGATATTTTTACTCAGAAGATTGTATCTTTTTATTTTCATACATAAGATGTATCTGATACTAGTGTATGGTTTATAAATTTGGAAGATAGGCAAGCTTGTTCTCTTTGTTTCTGAAATAAAATGCACTGCAATATCGACGA